TATATATATATGTATATGTATATTATATATATATATGCGACGGGCTCCTCCCCAAGGAAAACTGGGCTATGTGAGGACATATAAGATCTACAGATAAGCTGGTAGGAATTCGAAACACGTTGGGTTCCATTCTAAGGGGCCCTAAGGGGCAGCCGCGTAATAAAGGGACATTCCCAGCTTGAGCTTTCACCGCACCTTGCGTGGTGGAATTTACACAAGGTTGCGATGTTCCGGTACTTAAACTTGCGGGACCGGATGAACATGTCCTAAACCCTAAGCCTCTAAACACCTCAACCCTAAACTCTAAACCCTAAAGCGTTAGCGGTCCCCATGTTTTTTTTTGGTGGCGTGATGGCCAGACCTTTAGTGCAGAGTCGGGCTTGGTAGTTGCTAATGCCTGGTCTTCATTTCTCTTGCTGCTGGTTAGTAGGGGGGATACCTGTACATAGGTCCTTCAAAGTTCATGAGCTTAAGCAATGACTGTAAGAAACCCTAACTACAACTACAGTGCGTTTATTCAAAGACTGTAGGGATCCCTTCCTCCGTTCTCTACTCGGCTCCTGTAAGGTTTCTCAACTGATTGTGTCTTTGACATCAACGAATGTGCAGGCTTGATTGTCTGTGGCTCATGTAGCCATGTTTCCGTTCCATTTTAACTTGTGAGTTATGATTCTTCTCAGGATCCCCAGAACGTTTTACATTGGAGAGTCCAGGTGGGCCCCAAGTTTCTACGTTGATCGCGTCAAAAGCAAACTGCGAGTCAGGCTAGGAGGCGTGTCTTGAGCTTTTCACCCACCAAAATCCCCATAGACCTTTGACTCTTCATGGCACAACTTACCTCAAACCCTAGTGCTCAATTTCCCAGTGTAAGAAACCTGGAAGTCTCAAACACCAAGGTCACAGTTGCAAGGCCGGTGAGTGCTGGCTTGCCTGGGATGGGTCTGCACACTTCGAAGTGCAGAAAGGGTTCAGAGTACAGGGCTTACGTGGGATTTGTATAAGGTTTACTGCCTAAGGTTTTACGATTTCTGGTCTCGTGTGTATGTGGTAGAAGGTAACAGTTAAGCGGAAGGATGCATCCCCTAGACTCGCAAGACTTCTTTCTTGAACCAAAGCCTTTGGGTATATGGTACCTGTTGGCCGACAAGCGTCCAATTCTACTGCATGGCGACACTGTGTCTCAGTTGGCCATTTGGATCCTCAGGGAAAAGCTTCCATTCGTCCTGGACCTGACATGTCTACACAACATGTCCTTGCGGTGGCCCGAAGAACCCTCAAGTAGAGGTCGGTCCCAAACCCCTTAGTAGCCCCGGTGTCGCTCAAAGGTACACCCTCAGCGCAACACGCTTACCCAAAATAGTGAAAATAATTCTAGTCATAGTAGCAATAGCAATAATGCTACCCTAATTCCCCTAAACTCCTCAAACCAGACAGCGTGCACCAGATGCTTGCGGACGTCATCAACGAGATCGATGATGCAACGCTCCGGCGGGTTCTGGTCTTCTACATCGAGGAGCTTTGGAGTTATGGTTTTAACGTTCACGTTTCGAACCAGCAGCGTTTTCCCTGATTCGTGTGTATAAGTGCGAAAGAATCTGTAGATATGGCTGCTGCTGCTGGATAAGTTGTGAAGATATGCTCAGGCTTGCAGGCCGGTGAATGTGAGGTCATGTGCTAGGGACCTTACAGCTGAGTCAGAGACTCGGTGCCAGGCACACGCGAAGTGATTCTCGAGCTTAAGGGGTCAGAAAATTAGGGCCAATCAGGGTTTAGTCGTGGTGGGTCTGGTATTCAAAAGAGGCTTGTTGCTCAACATTTTCCATAGTAATGATGCCCAGACTGGGCACCGCATTTTGAAAATCCGCCATGAGTGGATGGAATCCATGCTTACCTTCTTGCGGAAACATACTTTCGACACGCCCTGAACCAGTGTGGCGCCGCAAGGGCTCCAAGTAACCATATGTGGTATCCTGGATTGCTCTTCAGGAACTTAAATTACGTTACTATAGTAAGGTAAGCGTATTTCTGATTGTAACATTGTATATCCATGTTTTGACAACATAACTTAAGGCAACCCAGTATCTGGCCCCAGCAGCGCCTACATGACAACCTCTCTATGTGCAGAATAGGGTGTAGTGTTTAGGGCTTAGGGTTAGGGTGTTCATGAAGATGTTGAAGGTCCTTAGACAGCTGCATGTCCTGGGATACAGGAAGCTCAGGGTGTTGCAGACTTCCCTCCATGAACCGAACCTTCCACGCATGATCGTTTCCATATACAGGGGGATCCCAATATGGACTCCGAAGCAATATGATCTTTATTATGGCAGTCCCCCAAAAGGTATCCCTAAGTTTGGGAAACCTACACCTTATACAGCCCGATATAATCCAATATGACCCCTATAACCCCCTTAAAGGTACCCCTACTTGTGGGAAACTCTGAGCAACTAGATGCGCAGGCTTTCCATTGCATTTCAATGTTATTGTTCATTTGATTCTCTATTCTTCTGGGTAGTACCCCTAAGCCGTAAACAAAAGTCTGCATTCTCTTTTCCATTCGCCCTGTATAGACCCAATAATAATACATCTTCGTATAAGCCACTATGCACCCCCATATCCCCGCCTCCACATGGCCTATAGCCTAAACTCCTTAAAGTGGGGGTATATAGGGGATTATACAGAGGACTACTATAGGGGTTACTAAGGGGGATACTAGGAGTTTAGACTATAATCCCTATAACCCCCTATATAAACCCAGTTTCCATTTCATTTTCCATTTTCTTTTCCATTTGATTCTCCATTATTAAAGGGGGATACTAGGAGTTTAGACTATAATCCCTATAATCCCCTACATAACCCTTATAAGGAACATAATCTTACTAGGTTCAACCACCCAAAAAAACAGTGCTCACATGTACTCAGAGCCTCTGGGCTAGCTCGGAGGAGCTCCTGGCGGCGTCTTTCAAAGACTTTATCCGCGCCTTGATCGCAGCTGATCTCTACACCCAAAATCAACTGTAGGGTGTATATGTTAAGTGGACCCTTATAAGGGATAATAGGGATTATATAAGGGTCCTCTTATATTCCTATTATACCGCTATTACAGGGTGGGGGGTCCTCCTAATGTATATGTTTTTCTATGTGCACATATTATACGTACACATGCATATGTACACATACATATACAGTATGTTTTAGGCTTGAGGCTTCGGGATTTTTACGGCCTGCAAGGCTTGGGATTGAGGTTTTGGGGTTTACACGTTGTAGAAGATTCTGGGCTCCCATCTTCGGAGTCCCTATCAGGAGGATCTTCTCGTCTTGGGGGGTATACATGGCCAAACATTTTGAGAAATTCCGACATCCTAACTTTCAGCCTAGCATTTTGAGGGTGCCTACTGATGAAGAAGGTTTTGAGCTTCAGATGTGTACTTCAGGGTTTCAGGATGTAACAGCATGTATGACTTACATGTGTGGGGGTCACTCTTGCCCCAAACCAGTGCAAGACCAACTATTGCCAACATCTCAGTACCTCATGATGGGGCACCTGAGGGGCAACGCTAGGGTCCGAGCACGACGGAGCTTCAATGATGCGGGCCTGCTTACCAAGGTTCAGGGTGTAATTGGGTTCCTTTGTTTGCGTGGCCATCTCATGCCATGTCTCATGCCGTACACAAGCTTTCCATCATTGTAATGAAGTCCTTCCTCATGTGTGTTGACGAGACCCTTCCTAGATTCTCCAGCGTGGTTTCTCCCGTTGATTCTTACAGGACACCCCCAAATGCTGGTACATTGGAGGGTCTTACAAATCCATGAACCCTAAGCAGTTGACCGTGTGGGAACTTGTTGCTAGGCACCTATGAGCCAAAGAAAGAGACCATGAGACAGAGCACCTTGGCACGTTGTTTTTTGGTTTTTCGGCTTAGAATTCTTGGGTTAGGGTTTTGCTTTTTAGAAGGTTCAAGTACCCCAAATTTAGGTACCCAGGTTCTGATTGTGGGAGTTTCCGTCAAGGGTTTTGGGAAAGTTTGTTGTTGTCGGGTACTTGGAGCCTTGGGTAAACGATATGGCTAGAAAACTAAGCTCGCAAACGTCCTTAGTTCCTCACACCCCGAACACCCTTTTCCCCATCCCGGGGCATGGAAGCGGGCATTATTTCTAGACTTGGGCGCAGGAACCCTTCAAGTTAAAGCTAAAGCTTCCAAGCACGGAGTCCTGGCTTTAGACCTTAAACTTTCAAAGATTAAGCAAAGCCTAGACCGTAACTCCCAAAGCCTACATGCTTGGAATTTGGCGTTATTTCAGGATCCTGGATGAATGCTAGGATGGGGTTTGGGGTGCTAACTATGCTGAGATGAACTCTCTAGTTGTGCTAGCTTGTATGTCACACCTTTCAGCAGGAGGCTGTTGACCTTCCCTGAGGCCCGAGCATTCAAACGACTACTTATTAAAGTATTCAAGTACTTGGACCTTGCTGATGGTTCAACTAGGTGCCAAACAGTCGTCAGATGGCTGACAGATAAAGTTTTCTGGTGTTTTATTGAATCGTCATACTTGTTAACTTTCAAACCCGAATAACACGTTCTGTGGCTGTGCTGGGTATGTGAGAGCCTCTTCCCCCCAACCAGTGACGGACACCTCCCCGAAATCATGTTCAAATTCGTTCGAAATTCTCATACTTACATGTTTCAAAAGCTTAGTGAACCCGTGCCTGGAACAGCCCTTGGTTATAGCTGTGTAGAGTCTTCATTTCAGCCAATCCCAACCCTTGCTTTCTCTTGGTTTGCGTGGCGGGATACGGATAACTTTCAAAGGCCCAGGTACTTGTTTCATCTACATAGGCCCCAAGGTAGGAACCCCTTTGGCCCCAAGTGTATACTATAGAGATGCCTGGATCCTCAGGTTTGAGGCTTTACAGTTATTGGCTTTGGGGAGGCATACTTTTGAAGTTCAGGATGTTAGGGCATCCGCCAAAAAGTGGTCAAACTTGGCCGGGGGGTCTGTCTAGGAATGCCTGCATCGTCCCGTATCCTAAATCCCTCAACCCGACGTGTCTGTAGTAGATGTCTGGACCCTTTGGGAACTGAGGCCGAGGGCGCTTTCCTCGAATAGCAGAGGCTCTCGCCGCACCAAATTTGAAGCTTAACCCTAAACCCTCTTACTCTTATGCCCAAAAGAGCTTCAATCTCAGCAAATGGCAGGGTTTCATCCGAAAAAGGATCGGTACTATAGGATCCTGTAACTGACTGTCTGGGCGCAAGGTAGGGTTCTGGGGTTCCGGGCCCGGGGTTATTTGGGATTTAGGGCTTGTGGTTCGTGATTTCGGGTTTAGGGTCGAGGTCTTAGAGTCCAGGGAGCAGGGCCCTGGGAAGTAGAGGGTGGTTGCAGGCAGCCTTATTAACATCTTCGGGGGGGAACTTTCACAAGGTAGAGGGCGTGAGCTGCAGACAGATGTTGGGGCACAGTGGGACTTGTAGTCCTCAGCCTCAAGGGTGAGAATTCAGCCGAAGGTACTTTGAAGCTGGCATTGCGTGAAGCATCCTAAGTCTGGATGCAGATAAACAACCGGTTACCCAGTGCAGACAGCAGGGCGAGCACGCCAAAATCAAGCAGCTTCTGCGCAAAGCGTGGTTGCTGCTATCACGCCCACGCCCTTGTGTACCTGTCTGGCAGCGCCGGCCCAGCGTTGCTCGCCCTGAACCCCACTGTACTTGGAGGTTTTCAGTGCACTTACGACCTATTTATAATCATATAGATAACATTGGGTGCTTCTCGTCGGCTTATAAGTTATAATCATGACACCGTAAGTACCACTTACAATTGGGTGGAATCCCGTGAACCTCCAAGTAAACTATGCAGAAGCCCAAGCCTCTCCAAGGCACTATACAGCCCAACAAAAGCCCTCTGTAGTAATGAGTCCTAGCAGAAGAATCAGTAGCCATAGGCAAAGCAGCTGTGGAAGGGGAACCTAGACCCTAAACCTCTGAACCTAAAAGCCCTCAAAGCTAAATCCTAGAAGCGTCTGTATCCTAAACCCTATAACCCCTAAACCCCTCAACCACATATACCATGCAAGCTAAATCCTAGGAACACCCTTGAAGCAATCTATTCAGGAGCAGCTCACCGGCCTGGTCCCCTATTTCTCAGTGGCAGCGGTCCCGGAGAAGGGTACGTCCATGGTTTTAAGTTGGGGTGCCCTTTAAAGGGATCTGTAGGGTTATGTAGGGCTGTATAGGGATATGCAGAGGGAGAGATACTAATATATATATATATATATAGAGTTTGGGGCTTCAGGGCTGTTTCTGTAGAGGCTAAGGGTCAAGAGATTGGGATTTAGGCATCAAGCCTTTATGGTTGGCGCAGTTAGAAATTTCAAGAAGCAGGTTAAGGGATTAAGGGTTGGGCATCGGGGGATTGAGCTAAGGGATCACGGTTTTGTTCTTTAGGGATGAGGGTTAGGGGCTCCGACTCAGGGCCTTGAGTTTAGAGCGACGTAAGAGACCACATTAAAATGAGGGTTCTGTAGCGGAGGGTTTCTACGTTCCCCATATCAAGCGCACCTCATACCCTTCAGCTTGGAACATAATGTTTGTTTGATTTTGGGGCCCGAGCCAATGCTTTAGGTATAGGTCTCTTGGGTTTGGACGGTTTGAGGATGTACATCCTTTTCCCTATGCTCTGAGCCCTGGACCCCAAGAGCTATGCACCCTAATTGAGGTCAGCAATGCTTAATGCACGCCGCATGACCAGCCAGGATGTCAGGCTTAGGTTTTAGGGTTGAGAACTTAGCGTCTGTAACGTAGGGTTTAGGCTTACATAAAGGGTGGTGGACTAGTATGGGTGATTGTCAGAAGTAGGTACCATTGCAACGTGTGGAGGGTGGTCCATTTCAAGTGTAGCAGCATACATGCAAGTCCTACAATGTGCCACATTGTGGCAACTAAGTCACGGTCTAGCCAGAACTGCGCATATGATAGGGAGTAAGCCTTTGGGCTCAACGTGTATAACGCAGACGTGCTGTGGTGCCGAGGCTTATGAGTAGTGCTTTACGCTCTCCTGACCGATCTTTAAATTGTTCACAGCTCCCCCAGCACCACATTGCCAATCGGATTGTGGATCGTGTCTGATAAGGTGCAGAACTTACGAGATACGGCCAAGGACTGCAGATCTTTCAGGGTGTACGGTGTACCCCTGGAGGTATATATACATATCTCTATATATATATATATGTAAAGACATGGGGGCATTTGGACGTTTGTAGCGGTACATAGGGATATGTAGCATTATGGAGTGATGTGGAGGAATATAGATGGATACGTGGGGAGAAATGGTGTTTGAGAACTTTTGCTTATTCCTCCAAGGTACTTCTTGTTGGGGTTTTGTATGTTTTGTTGGTTAGGCTTCTTTTTAGGACCCCGGAACCTAAACCGCGTTTTGTTGCTTTCCCCTCTTTCAGTTTTTTAGGTCTTGAGCAAGGGGGACCCCATACCGTGGTTAATGGCTTTAGAGACTGCAGGTCCAGTTGAGCACTAGTGCACGTGTGGTAAGCAGGTCTACGAAAGCCAAGTCTACAGGGTTTCAAGGGTCTTAATTTCTTAGCGCGACGGTGCTGAACTACATGGAGATGGTTCCCTCCTAGCATGCTACATTTTCAACAGGTTGAAGATGCTTGGAAATGTGGGCAGTCGGCGTATCTGTTTTTTTGGCCTCTACACCCTTGATCAGGGTTTGGGGTTGTAATTTGGTTGGAGGAAACCTTGCTCCGTATGTCCTTGAGGCTCCCGAGAATTATTCTGCTGGAGGAGCGCATAGGTTTCGAACCCTGTGTATCCCCATAGCCCCTTCAAGATCAAGCCCCATTTCTTAGAACAGAGCCGCGTGCCAATTATGCAGGAAGCAATCCTGCGGAAGATCGAGTTGGAAGCCAAGGCTTTTGAGCGGTTAGGGCTTGGGGCTCAGTAGCCAGGATCTATGTCTATGTAAGGTTCGGGGCTGTGGATTCAGGGTTGGGTGTATTTTCTATGGGGTAGTGCGTTTCTTCCTGGACGTATATCTTGGGCTCATTTTATCTTGATCACCAGAAGAGAAGCTTGTGGATGGTGTTTCAAGCCTATTGTTACAGAGGTACTTTTCAGCACTTGTCCCAGGCCTCTGATGCATACGTTCGCGCATTTGGCAAATGATACCGGTACCGGCCTCAAGCACCCCGCAACATGTATAGCGTCTGCGCTTAAAAGGTTCTTGGATGAACTTGTGGAGTCTAAGTATATACGGTCTTTGGCGCTTGGGATAGGATCTCTGCACAAGCCTAGTCACCTTTATGGTCGCGTTGCAGCCTCCTTGGGTTGCAGGTGATATGGGTTCTCTAGGGCCGGGGATCTGTAGGTCGCCATTCTTGTTGATAGATATTCTTCAGGCTCTAGTCTCGCCTAGTTTGGTGTTGACGATTTAGGGTCTAGTCAAAGAACCCTGGCAGATTGACGCATCTGACGGGCCAGTGTAGGGTGTTAGCCCCGTTTAGGGGTTAGGAAAAAGGGGTCCATTGACTTGACTTAGGAGATAAAACATATTGGCATATTGGGGGCCCTCAGCGTTGAGAGTTAACCACATCTTCTTGCAGGAAGTCAAGCTGAACCCCTCAAAACATTTACCCCACAGAATCCCGAATAAGCAGCCCCATAATCCCGCATTGCTCCCCAGATATCCCTGCGGTACGCAAGAGCCAAACTCCGACGAAACACAAAACCCCCTAAACACGCAGCAGTTCTTCTGCCTTCGCAGGCGTCTGATACTGCGGCAGATCTCTCGCAGTCTGAGGACCCTGCGGGACTCAGAGCTTTAGGGGATTGCAGGGGGTCCCTTCAAAGGGGTATGTAGGGGCTTATTTGGGCGAGATGGCAACCAGGGTTATAGTGGGTTTATGGGCTGCTGGGGTGTCTGATGCAAGGATCACGGGTTGGGGTTTGCGCCAGCTGATTCAAGCTGCGTTGGTTAGCGTAGATGCCCCATTGGGAGAAAATTTCTATCTCAGCAGTTTATGCTGCTGGCCATGCGTCAGCAGCTTTTAAGGGCTGGGTGCAAGAAAACGCGCGGAATCTTCCCAAGCTTCCTGAAGAGCATAACAGGCACTGGGAGTGCGCAAGGATTGCAGATTGCACCGAAACGGCTTGAAATTTGGCAGCGCCAAGCACAAACCCAAACATGTTTTCGACATTTCTCGCGCACATACCCGTGCCTGCCAAGAGTGCTGTACACGAAAAGCCTCATTGGTATAAGTCTAGAGTCGAGAAGCTCGAATAGAAAAGAAAAACCTTTCTACTCCTCATGTGGCTGCAGTATATACTCGTCCATCCATCTTAACCATCTGAGTCCTAACTTAAATCATACTTCTTTCAGCCCCAACCACAACTGCCATTCTTTGGGCCCTGCATTGCAGACGCTGCCTGAAGCCTTAACCCCAAACGCCCAACCGCAAGCACCCAACCGGAACTATTCCCCGAATGCAAAACACCAAAGCCCTAAACTTCAAGCAACAATCCCTGACCTTGTTGCATAGTTGACCGGCCTTCTTGTCTTTTTTTGTCTGCTGTTGTTGTTGAAAACCCGTGGCATGACCTTAGTATGTTAGACTACCACATTCCTTGAAGCATTGTGTTTAGGGGCATGGCCCTACGCATGCTGTACTACCAGCATTCCTAGAGCCGTGCAAGATTTTCGTAATGCCAAGCCCAAGCACAGGAGCGCAGAGCTTTGGACGAGGTTCGCCTAAAGGAGGAGTGCCATTCTCGGCCCGGTCGGGTTTTCTGGATTTAGCGTTTATAGAAGCTAGGTTCAGGGTATTTATGGTTGCGGTATTTTGTTTCTTAGGGTCCAGAGTTTTAGGCTTAGGCTTTTTGTGGCGTTAGCGTTTCGGGCCCTTAAAGGAGTCACTGTTCTGCTTTGGGCGCGCTACATTAGTTAAGATTCGCTGTTCCAAAAACTTTGGTGCACATGCCTTCGTGTGCTTGAAGAGGGATCTTGTTGTCTGGAGGGGATGTGGTCAAGGGCTCCCTACTTAGCTGTTATGTGTATGATAATCCGCGTTACACGTAGGGCAGGCCTAATTGAAATCCCATTTTAGGAACTTCTAACCCTATGGAGAATCCTGCGTAAGTCTCCAAGTAACGTGCTTGGAAATTGCCAGAGAATTTGGGCCTGAAGCTTTCAGAGCTGAGGGCACAGGGTTGAGGGGTGTAGTTTTCCAGTCTCTTGACATCCATACTCGCCCTGCACCTTAAACCCTAGACTCTACATCCAAACAACTTAGCAGTTGAGATCCTTTAGGCCGAGTGAGTTGGCTCAAAACCAGGACTTAGGACTTCATGCCGATTGATTACCTTGGAATATGGAAAACTGTCAGGGGCCACAAAGGTGATGCGTGGAAAGGAAGGTACGGTCTCTACAGGGGATCCCTCCAAAGAGCCCTCCGAATTCCAGATCTCTGGGGTTGAGGTGCCGCGACCTGAGGTTGGATGATTGCAATCTGCGAGGTGCCAAGGGCTTCCAACAGGTGAATGTTCAATACTTATTTGCCGAATCTTTCTCGTCATTGCATGTAGTGCTAGAAGATCTGGCTCGACTCTGTGCTCGATGCTTTCCCAAACATCGAATTGCCCTAGACCCCAAACCTTATTGCCTCACAGGGAGCATCCCCAGCACTCTGTGGGAGTTCCATGCTGGGAAACTGAGGGTGCAGGCTGAAGTCCCATACCTGCATGTATTGGAATAAGACTCCAAGGTGTAGGTTTATGTAAATGGGGAAAGACACCGACAATCTTGGCGGCTCTGATGCGCAATGCTGGGCAGTTGCCATTTCCACCACCAGCACCGCCACCACCGCCGCCACCACCGCCACCACCATCACCGCAACCGCCACCGCTGCCGCCGCCAACCGCACCGCCGCCGCCGCCGCTGCCGCTATGGATACTACCACGAAGTTCGTTCCACCCATACCCCACCGCTGCTGCTGCACCATCAGAATAAGAGGACGTGTGCAACTCCAACATCTCTGATGATAAGTACCCTATACAAGAGTTGTGTGATTGGCATAGCATCCTCTTCCTGGGTGCTGGGGCAACCAAAGTCATCAGCTGTACCACTTGATTCTGCATGAATAGCCCCAAGCCCCTACATCTCATGTATCCCTACATAACCCCCAATACCCTTCAATTCAAGGCCAACAAAATCCTGTTTCTCACCGCCAACCTGACCTGAGGCTCCGCCACGCGCGTCTCTTGGCCGACACCCTGCAGGCACTGAAACAGGGGTTCCAAGAAGTACTTGTTCCCATTCTGAGGATGAATTTGGGAGTACATCGTAAGGGGGTCCGCATGTTGGTAAGCACCCAAATACCTGCCACAAGAAGTTCAACTTGCCTTCTCAACTAAAGCTGGAATCCTCAACACTAAACCCTCGACAGCAAATTTGTGTGCCTTGTAGGAATGTAAACCCGAAATCACAGTGCTGCCGTTGTAGTTGGATGCAGGTATCGCATGGTACAATACCTGATGTTTCAGGTCTAGTATAAAAATCTATAGTTATAAGTCTTGCGACATCATATAGCACAATTCTCTTGACATCTTCATGCTGACATGAACCACCTTGCCCAGGGGTGTTAGACTGTTGCACTGGAGTTTGAGTTTACGGCTTGCCACCTGTGAGTAAGTCCGTTCGTCAGCTTCATTTGTCTTCAACAACCCAGAGCTGCGCTTCGACGCTCAGAGGTGCTCATGTTTGGGTTTGATAGGTAAGTACTTGTGATCATAACCCAGCATTAGAGAACTTGCAAGATTTGCAGGTTCTTCCACAAGCCCTGATACTTACTTAAAGTCGTAAGTCCACTGCTCGCTGAGCCCTAAACCTATCACTGTCTGTGGGAAAGCTGCAGCAGGTCTTGAGCTTAAGGCGAGAGAACTCTTCAAAGGGCTGCCAGTCAAATCCAACGAACGCAGCTGGCTGCCATTTGCATGGAACCACGTGTCTCCCTTTCCATCCGCGTCGCTGGCCAGCTTCGTTTCCATAGGTTGAACTCCCGGTGATGGAAGGTACGATGTGGAAGGTTCACTACCTCCATCATGTTGTTTGGACCCGCAGCTTCATATCCCACTTCTGGGAGAGCCGACTGCAGCCGTGTGCAATGGTGAGCACATCCCAAACTGGGGTCCCATGCTGAGCTTTGCGCTTGTTTTTGCAGGTGACCTCATGGTTCCCAGCGCCGCCGTAGTTCCGCTCACCAACAGGTAGACCCAAAGCTCCATGAGGGATTATTGACTTTATTTTGGGGTTTAAGTTTTTCAAGAAGCCGCAGACACCTAAGTAAGCACACCGTGAGTGGAATTGAAGCTCATGATCCATCTTCCCATCTTTTCACTTCGAAGACCCTTCGAACTTCACACCTTGGTTTGACGGTGCTCAAGGAGCAGCACGCTTTAGAGAGGATATATATATATATAAACATCCGTAAACACTGCACTATATATATATATATACCTATATATACATATATATATATAGGGTTATGTTAGGGATTCACTCTCCCCCTCTCCTCACGTGCCAGTAAGCTGAACCGGATCTAGGCTTTGGGTTGGGGGGGCATAGGTGTAGGGTAACCATTATCCGCCAGATCAAACCTTCCGAAATACCTTACCCTACAAGCAGTGACTCTTATCCATATCCCCATGCGCGCCTGTGGATATGTAATTCCATCGCAGTTATGCCAAAAACGTTATCCAGCTGAAGGAGACGGAGTAGGTGCAAAAAGCACTCCTCCACGAATTTGGACGCATGGGAAGTAAAGCAATACTTTGCAGCGAGCGTTCTGACTGAGAAAGCCCTTGGATTTAACACCTCAAGCCCCAGCCTTAAGTCATAAGCCTGCACTATACTCTTTATGAGGCTGTCCAATAGTAGGGGCTCCCAGCAGAAGGGTTGAAATATATTGGCTGTACCCCTGGATTTGTGACCCTAGGCCCCAGCTGTAGATCACAAGCCTCCCGCCTAAACAACATATGAGCCAAGGAAGGAGGTCCCCCTTTGGTAGCCCAACATATGTTGACCTTACTATGGGGATCGCTAAAAAGGGGCCCCTAAATTGTTGCGGCAACCTCCATTTAAACACTGACCGCCTCCTTGTCATCAGAGAGGCTCGAACCATTGAGCTCGAAAAGACGAGGATGGGTCTCGAAGAACAGGCCTGTGTTGCGTGCTGGCGGGTAGTAGGGTAGTAGGGTAGCAGGGTTCAGGGTTTAGGGTTGGTAGGCTTTAGAGCTTAGTTGGATTTAGGGGTCTTCCAGTTTGTGGTTACAGGACGTGAAGGATCCTGTATAACTCCATGGTTCTCTACGGGCTACTGTAGGGATCCTCTCCTCCATTGCCTACAAACTCATAGTAACTTTAAAGGTTGGGAGGGTGGGCGCCTCCTCTAAGCCAGAAAAGACCTTCAGTTCCGAGACCAGATCGTATATTTCCTTTCATCTACGATTGCTTTCATGAAGCTGTGAATCTAAAGGTCCTACAATCAGGCTTAGGGCCTATAGTAGGGCTCATGGAGGGCGTTGGGGTCGCAGCTAGGATTGCTAACATGGTTTTAGCTGGTCCATTGAAGGCTTGAAGCCTATAGAATTGGAGCCCCAAACTCTGAACTGTTCAGAGTGGTTTCCAGGTTTGGGGTGCTTTTTAGGATTGCGCTTCCTATATACCCATTTAAAGGGACCTATGGGGTTTCCATTTCATTTTCCATTTTCTTTTCCATTTGATTCTCCATTATTGGGCTTCAGAGTGCAGGATGAAGTAGGGCCCTGAACTTCCTGTGTCCCGGGGCACCTAAGGTCTTTTTGGGCTGTACGATGCTTACGGTTTGGGGACTGGGGCTTCGGGGTTTCGGAATTTTAGCTTGGAGACTAGAAGAGGAGATTTGGAGGAGTCAGCAAGCGGGTTTAGGTTTCTGAACCATTGGGTAACTACAGTTTTGGTTATTGCGACAGAACCCCATGAAAGCACAATGCACAGTCATTGGACCTATGTGTTATTGTCTTAAATGCGTTCTAATAATCTAATAATGTCCCTAAACGATACCGGAATTGAGGGTGTGGGATCCCTTAACATCCACCTCGAATGCCCCTGCTATCAGGGCTTTCCTTGGCCACCCCGTGTACTCAAAAACTGCCCCTACTCGCATTACTTAGTGAGGCTTGCTTAGAACAGTCCAAGCTAGCTATGCCTACTTTTGGGAGGTGACTTCGGGACTTGTATGCTGGATTGACATTACAATCCAGAAAATCTTAGGTTCTGCTTTCCATGCACTGGGAGTCCCCTAAAGAGCCCAGCCCGAGATGAAGCCAGCTGAATGGTCCACGGCCCAAGTTCCCAAAAGGGTTTATGAGAATTAGAGGTTTGGAAATTTTGTGAAACTCTGAATCCTACTGTCTTAATATCTTTTGGCTCCGAATGCCCCAATTTTGGGCTAGTTACAACAATAATCGTCAGAGCAAGAGCCGTTTCGTTGTTGCCTGGAGGTGCGGCGCGGGAAGCTTGAGAGGGACAAGGAGGAACGGAAGCATACCAGTTTTTCGGGGATGAAGTTAACCAGGGCTTTGTCAAGAGTTGGATGCTTTCCCAACCTGTCCGGCCTCATAAAATTCAACCTTTGACGGTAGCGGTAACAAACTGGAACTGAACATAAACCAGAGATTGGCTTCAGAAAGCCCTGAGGCACTGGGCAACCAATTCTATGGCGCGTTATGTGGCTTAATTACAGGGATAATGGCACTTAGGATCTACGAGGTTGCGTCAAAACGCCCACGTCAATTTTGGAGATCTCCTATAGGTCCGCCAGTGGGCACTGCTTGCTGGTCAGGGTAATCTAGAGGCTGTGCTTTTTTGACGAATTATCCGCGAGACCCTAAACCATATTCCCAGCCAATGAGAAGCATCCAATCCTCGTGTAAAGGATGACTTCCTGAAGAAAATTCTGGCTTTTATCGTAAGAGCAAGTATTAAGTTCCAGATTCCAGTTCACTTGTGGAGAGGAACTTTTGCAGTTATGTGCGTTGCAGACGCTTAGGAGTTTGTCAGACAGTGAATGCCTTGCAGACAATCCGTGTGTGACGGCCTATGAGGAGCCTAAGCGTATTGCGTCCCCAAAGGATCCAGGCCCCTAAGAGGATGCCTATGTAGGTGCTTAGGGGCAAAAGTATATACCATGTAGGTCCCTGGATCTTGGTTGCACCAAACCTGACGCCTTGAGCCAACTCTTAGAACTGGTTCGAGCCTGAAAGGGCGCAATTGGCCTTTCACGGATTAGATATCTTATTTCGGGGTTAAGGGTCAAGTGGCAGACATTTCATAGCGTGTGAATCATTTTTCGTCATGTATGCGCCCACCAATTAAAAAATACTGCATGCCCGATTGATTAAGAGAAATCCCACCCAGCACTTGGGCTAATCTCCTTCCTGGCGTTCTGAAAAGCATCCCGTGCCGAAGATGCGCTCTGTGAGGCTTCCATGCTTAACTGGCTGAAGTGCGACTGCCAATGCTACGAAGACGTGCTACGTGATGTTTGAGCAGTAGCAAGGTATGCGCGTGACCAGCGGAATGCGCTGTTAGGGCTGCAGGCGTTGTTCGTACTCACACATGTTCCCCGTAAAGCACATGTTTTCTATTGAGATGTTTAACTCTTGCGTGTCGTGGGGGTTGTGCATTACTCAATCAAGGGGAAAAGCTTTTCAGGCGTGTAAGTGATGCTGACATAGCGCATTGTGGGCACAAGCTGCGGGCCGGCGACGCCCAAGCGACTTGTAAGTGATAAACTGGCTTCTGCACGTGACTCGCTCGTGAAAGCCGGGATTTCAACAATACAGCCAACTCTCCAACCCAACTTTTCTCTCAAAAGCCTGACAGGAGCTGGCAAAGAAGAGGTTAGGAAACGAGGCGCAAAGCCATGCCTGCGTGCTGTGTCAGGTTTACAGTTTGAGGTTGGGGGTTTGGGCTGGACAGCGTGGGGTTTCGGGCTCATGGCTCTGGGCCTAGGCTTTGGGGCTAAGAGCCTAAGGCTTATAATGGTTGACGAGTGAAAGCTTGACATACTTGAGATAGATGTTGAGGACACTGAGAGCAATCGTACTGGTGCCTCCATTCAATCGCACTTCTTGAGGGTGCTAGAAACTGCTAGACGCAACTGTATGTAGACTTTAGTATGGACAGATGGGAGCCCCCAAGACCCTAAATTCCTCAAACTGGAACTCCAAAAATACATGAGTTCAGGGACATCTTGCATTCACTGATGCCATCGAAATGTTCCTGGGTTAGAACCTACACCCTGAATTCTTACCTGGAACCACCAGTGGCCTTACAAAGACGGCTGTCCTCCTAAAACATACCTATGTGCGGTTGCATGTTCGCTTGAGTCAGGCTGTGAATCTTTAAGCATTAGGCGACTAAGCCCTCACTTTAGACCTCGCACTTCCAGTTGATTGGCGACGGAAGTGATTTGAAGCTTTGCCTTGAGCAGTTGAGCACAGGCTATTAAGTATGATGCTGACTTTGCGTGGTCGAGGCCTCGTTCGCAAGCACCTCAGCAAGGACGAGATGCCAGCATTCGACCAATTGTGGCTGGAAGCTTTTTTTGAAGCGAGATGTGCTGCATGCAAGAGACTCGAACAGTCTCGCGATGCTTATTCTGGCACCTTTGTGCACGATGCTGGCAAAGTCGAAGGTCACTGGCACGTTTTGTAAGCACTTCTCGGAAAGTGTCACCCAGCTGGAGGGTGAGATACTGGTGATGGGGACAACTTTGCCATAACCCTGGCTGAGATCATATAATATGCTCCCTATGCTCCTCATAGCTCTAATGATGCCAGAAGGGACGCCCATTCTATTCGTGGATTGTGGCAGGTCTAGCTAATGTGCGGGTCTAAGTAGGGGTCTGAACAACTAGAACAGGGCTTGTGCAAATTTTCTGGTAAGCATATAATGGCATAGGAGCATGATCACGGGATACATTTCCTAGTTGATCAGGTTTCTACGAACCTTCAGCATGTCAGCTGGGCATACTTTGGGGTTGAGGTTGCAGAGTTCAGGAGTTAGGGTTTGAAGCTTGCTGGGCCGGATCTAGAGTTCATGGATTCTGGGGTTCATCTTTATGCTTTAATCAATGCTTTTGTGTGTAAGGTTGGGAATTCAAGGTTGTGGCGTTTGACACCGGGAGAGAATGCCAGCAGTCTACGCCGATCATGAGCGGCAGAGCCCCCAAGCCTTGCACCCAATGTAAGTACATGGCTTTGTCCACCCAATTTTCTGCCTTGGAATATCGTGTTTGTGGCTCAATGTGTAGACAGCAGTGAAATTGTGTACCCCAGAAGGGAAGTGCGGTCTAGGCATCGTTCCGTTTGATGTTGCCCAGAATTTTGTTCTACCCAGCCAGATGCGCATAGAGCATTCCCGACCCTGTCTTACCCTAAAAGGATCTTTGTTTGTACGGGCACGCCAGTGAAGGCTCCTCATCCAAACAAATTGAAGGCCTCTACCCCTGCATCGTACAATAGGCGGGGACTGGAAAGGGAAATGGCATAGGACGGCTCCATCTGCGGTAACTAGGAGACGGGGATGGAGGGGCCGGCTGTAGTTTCACTGTACACTTCTTTCATCTTAATTCTCAACGGTGTTATCCTCAGCCCTGAACCTTATGCAAGTGAAGACGCGCATGCGTACGGGGTAGTTTGATCGTTGGGGGTCGCGGATGAGAGGTTCGGCGATTGCGGGCCGATGCTGAAATGGCGCAGCCGGCGCTTTACATGGCTTGTGTATAAGGGTACCCTGCAAGAGAAATTTCATACAAGGAGCAAAGCATGCAGGAAACTAATGTTCGGGTTTACAGTGCCCGCATTTGTATGTAAGGGGCCCAATCTTTTCTGCGATCTTAGCCGCCCAAGAACAGAGCGGCAAATCTGTTCTCCGCAGTTTGTGACAGTTACTATGTAAATTACACAGGAAGGCCGTCTCTCAAAGCAAGGCTTGTTCTGAGTTGTGTATCCGCCTTGGAGGAATGACCAGGGTATTTCTAGAATTTGGTCCAGGATTGCCTTCCCATAATCCGCACAGAATTCGCAAGGAAGAACCTGGCAAGATCCTGATGGTTGCAATGTACCCGGCAGGTCCCCCAAGGCTAAACTTTCAACACATCTGGGCTTATCATGCGTCTTCGTATGCGCCACAAGTTTGCCTCCTACAGGCCATCCAAGACGTGCCAACAAGCCAAGTACATCATACCTTTCAAAGTTCCAATCATGCTTCTGTGATAGCCAGAGAGAGGTGTATATATATGACTTCACTCATATAGATGTTGTCCTATGCCCAACAGCCAAGACGGTGTCCCTATAGTCCATTTTCCCACCAATGCTCAGTCCTTTGCTTGTAGCAGTTTCCACATTCATTCGCATGTGAAGAACTACCTACCCCCGCTGGTCTAAAGGGGCCTATATTAAAGACTCTGGAATAGGTCTCGACTCCACTTTCAGCCAACAGAGATCCTTACAAGCAACACACAGGAGCCGCGTAGGAGCGCGGTTGCAGAGTGCATGTGAGTGAGGCTTGCGCTCGAATGGCTACAAGCATGGAACAGCAAGCACTACAATCGTAGCCCACAAACTCTTTATAAACTGTCTTCTGGAGCATTCCGAGAGGCCTCATGAAAGACTCTCGATTGACCACCGGCTTTGTATGGGATGGGAGTCTTGAACACCACAGCAGTCCCCTACAGAAACCCCCAAGCAAGGCATACATGACTACGCTTTGAAAAGGATTCCTGTCCCTCCTCATAACTCCCAGCAACCTCCGAAAGTCTTCTCAGCACGCAGAGTCCAAGTACCCAATAAGTTAGTACATCGGATTTTGTAGTGGTTGTGGTAGTATATGTTCTGGGGAAGCATTTGATGAATGGGTATCTGCATCCTCAGGTGAACCCTATAACCTCAAGAGTGCCACGCGAACCTATCTTCTAAGGATATAGTCCTGTGCCTCGAGGAAAAAAGCCCCAAAAGGGTAGGGTCCAAGGTCTACATCCTTTCGCCCTACACCGAGTCTCAGACTTGAATCCATCAGCGCAGTCCTGCAGCCCTGACGCCAAAATCAAATAGGAGGTGGGACTCAAAGGATTCCTGTATTAAACCCTAGACTACACGAGGGTGAAAGCATAAATGAGTGTGTGGACCATGAGGGTTAGTGAGCCAGGCGCGCATCGCGAAGGCTTCAATGGATGCCGAGAGACAGGCATGCGGCTGGGGTTTCCGGGATTCAGGGATGATGGTGTAGGGGCCCTATCAGAAGGTTTCGGGGCTTAGGTGTAAGACGAGTTTACCTCAGACCAGACGATCTTTGATCGAAAGCTGTTATTCTGCGCTGGGCGACGGGTGAGGCTGTTATCAGCTCGGGTGTAGGCTCTAGAGTGTAGGGGTTTGAGTTTACGGGTTCAAGTACCCAGGAACCAGTATTGGCCCTGAAAGCCGTTACCCACAATTCTGGTCTACTATTCGCCCAACTTCCTACAACTTTGGATGGAATTGTCTCACACTGCGGTACCTACCTCAAGCATCCTCAAGCAAACATGGCAATGCACGTAACCCCATGTTCATTCAAGGGACAAAGGTCTTAGCAGGGCCCCCTTTGTGCTTCCACATTCGTCTGGCAGAGGGTACAAGTTATTATTCCCTCTTCTGTGTCGAGCAGGTGCAGTTCCTTTGATACCCTAAGCCCAATACGATACTGCGGCAAACAACCTAAATATTGCCCGGAGGACTTGCACCGTATCAGATCCCAATAAGCTGATCCAATCTCAGCCACACCACCAATCCGACAAACTCTAAGAATGAGGGCCCCGGAATAAGCACCCAAGTCACCGATTTTTATGTATAAACTGTGGACCTGAAAGTCTTGAGATTTTCAGCAGGCCACAATAATTACAACTACTTCTGTAAGCCTGCAACGTGAATGTCTCTTCTCCCAGAACCTTATGGGACCCCAACAGAGCCTTACTCAGCCCTGCGTACCTAGAGCGACCTCTGCATACCCCACGCGGGACATTCTCAAATTTGCCCCCCTAAGCCCCTCCAAACAATTGCATTGTAATCCCAAAGCCCTGAACCTTCTACAGTGTATCTCCCAAATCATGGCAAGGCCAACCCTTCAACCCTTGTTTCCCTCGACCCACAATAGGGGTATAGTGGACAGGCCGCGACTGCATCAGCCAGCGCAGCAGCAACCCGCCCGGCTCCGATATTCAGGGCAGAGTTTAGGGCTTAGGGTTCTGCTTCTTAGAGGCTCACTGGTTCAGGGCTCCGGGTAGTTATCAGTAGGCTTCCTGAATGGGTTTCAAGTCTAGTTGCCAAAGTTATAGCCCTGTACTATCCTTGGTGATATCTAAGCAGCCGAAACATGGGCAGCGATGAGTAGGAGTATAGAGGCAAGGTAAATACTCTTATGACCCCATTTTTTGATTCCTTTGGACCAACAGCTCTGTTTTAATGCGCCGTTGAACTTCTAAGTAGCCAGCAGTGAGGCGTTTTGCTCGGCCTTGACGATTCAATGAAACTTGTTTTACTTTGGGGCCAGGGAGCTCTACATCTGATTCATTGCAAATTCATGGTATTCGGCAATCAGCTTCAATACCAGGGCGCGCTCTTATTGGGTTGGCGGGCAGGCATCCGATGACTTGTGTGAAGGCTTCAAATTGGTGACTGACTTCGGGCTAGTGTCAACTGCTCATTTATTGATAACATTGCATAAAATTGGATCCAATCCAAGAGGATGAACAAGCCAAACTCTCAAGACTTACTGCTTTGTCAGGAGCAATGGAACCTGCCATATAGTCCCCAGTGATACAGTAGCCTCCATTCACGCCTGCCTTCATTCTCTCAGCAAGATAACCTTACACCCTATACATCTCTGTAATCCCCATGTTCGACTTGATTCTTCATTTTCCCTACACCCGCAACGCCTATCATCCTTTCAAAGGGGCCTAAGATCTCCATTTCATGTTTTGTTGTCTTTTCCCGTTGAGCCTCCATTCTGTCCTGTACATCCCCATATAACCTCCATGTAACCCTCTGTCTATACCCATGATAGGCATATACATATATATATATATACATGTGTGTGTATATCATGTGTATATCTATTTTCCTTACGAACGAACTTCAGGCCCTAAACACGCAGATATCATATATATATATACATACCTTGCGGACAAACCCTGGACTCTAAACCCTGACCAGTAAGCTTAAAAGGTCGCCCAGTGGCCGGTACCAGCGCCTCCTCCTCGGCTCGACCGGCCGTGGTGCTCAGATGCTTTTGACAGGGGGGCGGGTACTGTAGTGGGGTAAATATAGGTCTTGGATATGCATATATATATATATATACAGAGAGAGAGAGAGAGAGAGAGTGTGTGTGTGTATATATATATATACACATATCTATATCAAAATCTCTATGTATATATACCTATATATATATATACATATCCAATTATATATATATAGATAGGTCGGGATATATAGGGTTTGGGGATTCAACCCAAAGAGTGGAGAAAGAATGGAGAACCAAATGGAAACTACAATCAAGGGCTTAGGGTCATGACAGAAGGACATACAGGGTTTTGGTAAGGGTTGGGGATTTAGGACTTTAGATTTAGGGCTTAGGATGTAGGCTTTCTGACGCAATTTGGATGCTCCAACAGAAGTACCCGGCAAGCAATGCAAGCAGCAAGCAACAGCCGACCTCCCAAGCGGCCTCGAAACGGGAAGGTAAGTATCAGGTTGACCCATTAGACCGAATGAGCCCTAAGACCCACTGTGATGTAGGTACTAAGGGGGAGGTTGTTCATCCTGGTGGTGTTGGTTGCTGTAAATTCTCAGCCCGCACATTGAGCTGTGCATCTCAAGGTTTGGGAGAATCTGGGCACTTCCTGACTTTTCGCATCAACTGCAGCACCTTAGGCTAGGCTCGGGGCTCCACCACCAGTGGTCATGGTATTTTTGTTTGGGTGTAGTAATTCCCTAAACTAAACGGGCTCAATGCGTGCAAAATTTCACGTGAACTGTTCCAAAGCGTGACCATTCAGGTTTACAGCCAAGAGTGGCCCAGCTGCCCAAGGTCCGGCTCAAATCCTGAACCCTGAGCTCCGAACCCGACACGGAACCAAAGATCAATTCCCAGGCTCTAAACCATATTTCCTCGCACCCAAGCCCTAGACCCTAAACTGAGCAAATTGGTTTGCTCAGAGAGGGAAGAAGGCGACTGCCCTGTGGGTTTGGGCTGCTGATTATCGGGTCAAAAGAGGCGCTGAAAAGAATTGTGGCAAGCGGAAAAGCAAAGCCCAAAACATCAAACCCTGCCCGGACCCTCCCGACCCCAACCTTGTATAAGGTGATGTCTTCTGAGATGATGCAGGAAATGTGGCGTAGGCAGGCAGATATGGCCTACATCCTCCCTACACTCACCCAAACACTAATTATGGCGTATTAGTGCGTCCTGCTGGCGTTGACGAACAATTTCCTCCATAAAGGCAGAACAGAAACCAAAGTGGGGGGAAAGACACAGTCCCGAGTAAATCCGAATTCCCAAGCTCCAGGAAAACCAAACGCGAGACGCTAAATCTCAGACCCTAGATCCTACCTTGAAATCCTACACCCTGAAGGGTCTAGGGTTGGAGGAAACCTCCTTAACCTCCACTACACCTACTCCCTCCTAGAACCTTCAGGACTCTGCGCGCGTGCGTCCTACGACGTCCAGCTTCTCCTCCTTCGGAAGAGCACCTCGCGCGGCTCTCAGTCGGAATTGCGGTTTTGGCGAGGATTTTGGATTATTTGGGTTGTTTGCTGTTTGGGTTTTGGGACTGTCTAGGGTTTAGGCTTTTGCGCTTGATGCTCAGGGCTTGGCCCCTGAGAGTACTGCCTATATAAATGTGCGCTGCAGTAGACGTCTGCCTTATTTTCCTCGGATGGTGGCCATGACAGGGTCCGCATGCTCGTCTCTTGGGGTCAGCGGACCTCTACACAACAAACTTGAGCTGGGACAAAAACCGTGGTCTCCGAGGTTGATATAAAACTGACACAATTGATATACCTGTGCAGATCATAGGAAGACAATAAGGGCACAAAACGATAACGATGTAATTAGTGTCATCCGATGATAAAGCAACAGCGCAGTAATTTAGGTTATTTGCTGAGAAAAAAGAGAGTAAACAAACTTGATCACGTGCTAAGCTATATAAGGCTGCCCTCTAGACTCTAGATCGCTTGAAGCCCCAAAGGGCTCCCATGTAAGCTTTTCCCGGCAGTAGCATGTAGATATGAGGATATGAGTATATGAGCCCCCTGCAAGCATCAGATTCATTAGATCAATAACAGGCAAACGCACGAACCCTCGACCCGAATCCCCAAATCTCTCAAAAACTTGGCACCCTTCGCCCTAAAACGAGTGCCCCCATAGCATCTCCTGGCCTTTGACTTGGCGGGTTTGTGTTCATTATCGCAACCTCCGTTTTCCTTGAGGTCCTTCGTACACAAGACAGAATTCGTAAGTTTTGTTGAGCTTACAAGCATTGGAGGTACATGTTGCATAAAGGACGGGATGGGAGGGTGGGCGGTGGTTAAGGCTTCTACAGGGGCTTATACTCATGAATGCGGCCGATCCGTAAAGGCCCGTCCTCATCACAACTACTATCCTATTTCGGTGGCTAGACAGGGTGACCCCTCGTTTTGAGAGAGTTTTTCCCTCGACGAGAGGACCTTGATAAAGTCTACGTACCGCAAGCCCCTAAGCTCCCAACAGCGATCTTACTGATTCGGGCAGCTACCTAACCAGCATATGTATTACATGTATATATACATATACACATACCTGGGCCCAAATGGATTCCTATGTAGAAGCCTTGGGGCTTCAGTATATGTCTTGTAGGTACCTCGACGTTTGGCATGGCTTTGTTTTTCGGGGTGTAGAAATTGGTCATGGCATCTGCGTCCCCAGGGCTCCCTTTGTAGGAATTTAGCATGGTGGTTGTGCAGAAGAGATTCCCTGAGTGGCATTACTTCAGTGTTCGGAATTTTCCAGACTTGCTAGAGTGTAGCCAGCATTGGCCAGCTGTTGAGATAGATGCTATCCTTAGGGGTCGAAATAGACCCCTCGCACCACCCCCCAAGCAGTCGAAGAGGGAATGCTCACAGATCAAATTTCTGGGACTTGGAGCCCTGGTGGTTACGAATACCATTCCCATCCGCCCACCTGCCCAAGAATGAAACTTTTCCATAATATTTTGTTGGTGTGTTGGACTAATTCATTCTCAGGGGGACTGGAGGGATACCAGGGTGGAATCAGGACCTCGCGCCGGAGACTATTCCCAAAGGCTATTTTTGCCACACTCCAGACCTGAAAGGCAAACACCTTATATACATGCGATAATGCCGACCTAAACCTGAAGTATGAGCCCTAAACCCTATTTCTCCCGGTGAGACGAGCGCAGGGTTCCTACAATGGATGCAAGGAAGCAAATTTCTGTCATGTGAAGTTCCAACTGTAGACCTGCATGCCGCTAAGTCCCCACCCATGGCTCCATTTCCGTTGAGCTTTGAATTGTTGATTCCTTAGTTGCTAGCTGTATCCGTTGACAACGTCCGCGACATCCCCGCCCATGTCCTTGTCATAATTGTTTCCCAACAGGTGTCCCAATGTAGAGTAAGAATATGCTTTAGAAAAACAATTTTGCTTGGTTCGAGCACCTTAAAAGGCGCTTCTTACATGAACTTAAATTAGTACAGGTCGGATTTTACTGGGAAGATTGGTGAGCAGGGATAGACATGGTCAGTGCCTGCAGAAAGTTCTTCAAAGATATATCACATGCAACAAGATCGTGCAATGAAAGCTTCCTGCGGTTGACGTGGAGCCGACAACCAGTTCACGTAGCAGCAGGGCAATGTGATATCAGGGGAACCTCTGACATGAACAATGTCAACAAGCTGGGCAATTTGGCAAACAAAACCACACACAATTCAGATTACTCTTCATTGTGGTTACCTCTGATTGTTGCCCGTTTCTCAGTCAGTGTAGCTCTTGCAATACTGCAGCATATCGTATATGATTTTCTAAAAGCCCGAAACCCTGAAGTCCAAACCTCAAGCCCGAGCATCTTTAACTCCTAGTCCTGTACTGACTGGCGCTTGGGGAAAGCAGGGGTTGGATTTCATAGCCCTTACATCAAGATGACAGTGCCTGTCTTCCCTACTCCCCTATCCTTCAGGCACATCAAGTTTAGATTGCAGGGCTAGGATTTAGATTTTTCAAAAATAATTGGAGTTGACGGCCGGCTGTCCCAGAACCTGCTAAGAAGATACTTGCAGGACCACGTAGGCTGGTGGATCCACAGACTGCAAAACATGAATTTCAGGCCTAGAGGAGTCCGCTACTGGGCCTTTGCACTGTTGCCCAAAAATCCGGTGCGCACGAAAACTTGAACCCCGAACCCAGGCATCCCAAAGACCAAACGTTATACCGCGCAGCTTGAGTGCTATATCCAACAGGATTCAGACATATGGTAGTATTGTAAGGGGAGTAGTATAATGGCAATAGTAATGGTAATAGTAATAGTAGTAGTAGTAGTAATTGAACTTCAACTCCTAACACTACACCTGAATTATCATATCCCTACACTCCCACACCTTCATACCCAGGCCTCGACCCTTTTGGTGGTAGCAGGCACGAAGATATTTTCGTGAGTTCACGAAGCAGGATTCCAGGGTTTTGGGAATGAATTAGGGCTTGGGGAACCATTCCTTGACCGGGCACAGTGTCTGCAGATTCATCAGTATGTATACTCCATTCTAGGCCTCAGATTTTAAAGCTTTAGGGTTTTGGGCTTACAGGGTTTGGCAAGCCAAGTCCTGCATGCCACGTTTTTGTTTGCACGCCTCAACAGGCAAACCTGGGCATTTCTCATGAGTCATCAAGGCCACCGGATATTCCAGCACAAGCCAATGTTGCATCAGCCCCCACTTCTGACCCGAAGGGCCGCGAATACTTGTAGGGTTGGACCAGCTTGCAATTAAGTCGCAAAGCGATATGAGGTCCGAGGCTTGGGGTGTCTGAGGGGTCTAGATTTCTAGGAGCTCCAAGGTTTCAAGAGGTCTGGGTTGAGGGGTTGGACTGCATAGCAGGCGTTTGGGGTGAGGAGCCTTGCTGGGCTGCACCCCGGCGAGCGTAATTACAAGCGGGTCTTGGATGTACGTGGTTGACGTGGACATGAGATTGAAGTCGCGCATGGTCTATATCGAACGTTTGTGAAGCAGTCAAGGTTTCCCCATCATCCTGTGAGGGCCTGCATACTCCTGTCCTATATCTTGCAGGGGCCCATGGTCGCCAGCATCTTGAGACAGCCCTTATTCCAGTAGTTGTTTTATTAGGGATACCTTGCAAACCCCGGGGATGTAAGGGGATGTAGCCGATTCCAGGGCCTTGTTTGGATGGTATGAGGGGCATTTGTAGAAAATCCCTTCTCACTGAACCCTCACCTTTAGCAACGTTTCTTTTGAAGGTCCTCGGCTGCCGGGCAAGAGCCTACTCCACGACGGACGCCAGGCTGTTTTTCGCTTTGCGGTTTATTGTGAATTCGAAGCAATTGGAGAGTTCAAGCCTTTGGTCCTTTTGCGAGAGTAGTGGGTAGTGGCTGTAGCCATCGTAATGGGATTTAGATACAGGAATCATGGAGCAGTCTTTTCTGTGTTTGTCCCAGGATATGGACAGGTTGGGTTTCAGGGTTGTGGATTTGCAGTTGTGGCATTGGAAATGCCAAGGTTGATGCTTCTAAAAGAGACAGCTAGATTCTGAGGTGTGTCTCTTTGGGTTCTTTTTAATGCTTCGGGTCCTTTGGAGCATCAGGGGAGTGCGGTTCTTGCTAGGTCAGGATTTTTACCTGAGGATGTGGCATTCCTTAGGGACCACCTGAACTCTTAAGGTTCCATGGCGTCCAGCGCCATAGGGTCTACAATAACGCAGTGTATCTGATCCCAGATTTCCAGCCTTGTTTAGTCCCCAAGGCATTTGACCTGTTTCAAGAATCTGGGTGACATGATCTTGCGTTGGGGCATTCTGGCCACATCTGAGGTTCCTTCTGTTCCTGGATGCTGCCGAAAGCCCCCTGCTCCTAAATCGCTACATCCCTACCATCTTAAACCCTAAAACCAACCCTGAACCCTTCAACCAGTGATCCTGAGCCCTGCAAAATCTTGGATTGAACTCCAAGTCCTACCTGTAACCCCAATTACCTACAGTTTTATGGGTTGTACCCCTTCATAATAGATAATTGATGTTACAGGTACATCCTACACTTTGAGATTCCCAAAAACACAGCCCGGGCCTCCTAAAGGCCTCAAACCATCATCCCGCAGCCCTCATCCTAAAGCTGCGTCGTGAGACCTGCAGCCGTAACCCCCAAAGCCCCAACACAGCTGAGGTGTCGAGTTTAGGATTTAGAGCGAAGGGTTTGGGATTTAGGGCTTAAAGAGTTTGAGATTTAAGATTCAGGGTGGAGGGTCATTCTGCAAAGCGGACCTGCACTAGGAGCGTAGGCGTAGCCTTCTAACCTTGAACACGACTCAGGGCCCTTATTGGGGATCTCTACCTGGGCCTTGGCGCAAGTAATATGAATTAATAAAGGCCTCAGATTCCTTTCTACAGGTACAATATTGGGAGACTGTTGGTGGGTAGACCATTAACCCTATTCAACCCCTAACTCTCCAAACCTTACTGGAAAGAGGCTCGGATGAGGTATCCAAAGTGTAGCAGTATATGGGGTTTCCAAAAACTAGTGGTCTTTTTTGGGGGGCCCCTAAAATAAGGACTACAGTATATTGTGGTTTTTATTGGGGTTCCCCTGTTTTGGGAAATTACCATATTCTGGTAGCGCAGGCATGAGGCGTGCAGGGAGTGAGACGGAACGGCAAAGGAGGCGAATTCTGCCCAAGGGTTTAAGGGTTGTAGAGTTTAGTATTCTGCCTTCGGTTTCGGCTTAAGGGGTTTATGATTAGCAGAGGACTGCTGCTCTAGAAGGTTTAATGCTCTAGGAGTCGCAGGTTTTTACGCTTAGCAGGCCTTTTTGGGGTTGGGTCATCTGGAGTTTTGGTTCAAGGGGTAGGGTGGCCGGAAACAGGGTTCAGTTGGTTTTTAGGGGTTTATCGGTTTTGAAGGCTTAGGATCTACTTCTGAGATTGCTGGGGTCACTAAGTGTCAGAGGATTGTTTTTTAAGGATTGCTACAGGGATGATGTAGTCCCATCTTGGGATGATGCACTTCCCTCCACATGTTACTCAAAGACAATCAAAGTAGATTGTCTTACCTCCTTTTTTACCTTCCCCCTGTATAATGTCAGGATCCTAAAAGCGTCATATCATAATTCATAGGGTCCTTATTCTGAAGTTTTTGACCTAACTTCCCCCAATTACAGCGAGTGTTTGGGTTTGGCTTGGGGTGGCTTACGGGGCATTTACGGATTTGCTTGGCATGCTCCAGGGGGGTGCTCCAAAGTGTGTTCTCTGCCGAGCTTGGCATCTCAGCAGAAAAGGCTCCGGTAGCTGCGGTGGTATTAGTTTTAATGTACAATAAGTAAAGCAAGAAACATAAGAAGTAGCAGTACGAGGCGGAGTGTAGTAACTCGGCTAGCAGCTGAAGCAGCAGCAGCAGCGAGAGCATAGCATAAAGCATGCAGGAGAGGCCGGGCGATAAGTCTGAAGTCGTGTGCAACAAGGTCTTCATCTCCTAATTAATGTTATAAGGCCGAGCACAAATTCCTATCTGCACCTGAGCTGTTCAAACAGGTCCTTGACAGGTGCTTGACAGTTCTAACCCTGCGCCAGTGCACGCATCTACTGCTAGAGGGAGCCATCGGGCCGTTGGGATGTTGATTATACTGTGTTACTACAGTAAGAGAGTATATATTGGGGTTATATATTGCATCTTCACATCTATAAAGATCAAGGTGGCAGTGAACTGGCAGGGGCGCGGGAAGAGGTTTTGGTACGTAGTGGTGAGCATTAGATGTGTTTCTGGTAGCCTGTATGAGCACAGAAGCAGCGGCTGCAGCTGCGAGAAGAAACGATAAGCGTGACAATAGTGGCAGAGCACTGGCTATTGCAATCAGCTTAACCACGCCAGAAGCACAGTAGAAGCTCAGAAGCGATGCTAAACAGTCTAAGCCCATTGCATGGTAAGGAACTATTGCCCTGGCCTTTGCCGACATCCCACATGCAGGATGGTTCCCTCCATGTTGTAAGGATTTGTCGTGTGTAGGGGAGGGAAGCACGCAGTTGTGTACCGAATGCGCAGGGCTTATACATGCACCGCTGCACCTGTTTTACCTCTGGGGCTCAAAATACCACCTCCCTAATTCCTCAACCTCATGCGCCTACCCCGTAAACCTGTAAATGCTTGTCCCTAAGCCCTCATCGGCAACTTGGGGTTGAGAGTTAGGGGTTCATAGGGTTCTGTTTAGGAGACAGGGTTTACAGTTTGTAGTGCTTAAGATTTAGAGCTAAAGGACTCAGGGATTTGGGTTGAGAGGTCAGGGGGTCTCGGCTAGGAAGGAAGAGAGAGCGGGTGATATCTAGATACACATATATGTATATATGCGGACATGAACATATATCTCTATATATATATGTATATATATGTACATATGCACTTCTTAGCTGTGTTCTTGTAGTTATCTATAAGAACAGGAGCCCTCGAATTCTCAACCTGATACCCCCAACAACAGCACCTCTAGACGCCCCCCAAAGCTCCAAAACAAAAACCGGAACGGGACCTTTATCAACCCTACCTAAATCCTCAGCCCTCAAAGCTCTATCTTTCTCTTTATACCATTATATACCCCTGATAATTTATACAACTTTTAGAGCACCTTAAAAGGGACCCTTGGTTGCTAGCAACCCATCCTTTCCCTTCACCCCAGAGGCCCGAGCTTCGTGGGCCCCAAAGGCGCCCAGATGGCGCAGCAGCCTTGCGGCCCCCTGGGGAGGCGGAGGCCAATGTGGAGGCCAGGAGGGCTTTGTTATAGGTCGTTAGACGTAGGTAGGGTTAGAGGTAGGACGGGGCAACTTTAGATTTCCAATGCCGGTTACTGTAGGTGTAGGTTAAGGATTTGAGGTGTCGTGTGGTTTTGGTTTAGGGGTTTGCAATGGCTTTGGCTTGGGGAGAAGATATTGGGAGGCGTAGACGGTTGTTTTGCTAAGGCTTGCATGGGGTTGGTCCTTGCCTATTACGTAGGTCCTCCGAAGGGTTCAAAAATTGTGCACAGAATCTCTCACTGGGTTCTAGGTCAACTAGGTTCCTTCCAACATCCTTAGTAGCTGGGCGGGCAACTTTCTCCTTGTTGGGGGTACATGTAGCTCTACCTCGGGCCAGGACACCCTCTGTTCCCTACGTGTGTAATGATCCACGTACAGTCCCTGCTCACTCAGGCTCATTGGGTACTGTCCTACTTGATAGCCCTCAACCCTAAAGATGTTCCCCATACCCCCTTAAACCTCAGTCCTTGTTGCTTATACCACTTTTTTCCTTATGCTAAAAGCTAAGAGGGTAAAAAATCCATCCAGCACGCTAAACCCTTACACCGTATAGACCTTAACCCCCATAAAGCCTCTAAAAACAACCTGAATCGCTTAGCCAAATGTCAAGGTTCCGCTGGTGCGAGAACCTGAGGTCGAGGATGGTGCAGAGGCAGTTGAGTTTAGGTGTACTAGTATACTGTGCTATGATATTCTATAATATACTATAATCTACACCAGATTATAATAGGGTTCAGAGGGCGCAAGCTTTGTGTTGCAGAGTTCAGGGTTCCGGAAGCAACGGGAGTTCTTTTCGGCATCCATTTGATGACCCCAAGTTTCACGATTCACTTTTCTAGAGTTGGAGTGCCTTTCTGGCAGGGGGTGAAGAGGGGTACCTGGAAACCTCAAGGATACACGAGGAGAAACAAGGGATCCTGGGGGCCCCAATTGAGGATGGGCCCCAGTAATTAGAGGACTTCATAGAATTATTTGGGGGAAGTCAAACATGAAGGGCACTCAAAGTCCAAGCAAGTGTACCTCTGAAGGTGTAGGGTGATCGTCATGTCAAATTTTTGGGCTATCAATCTTATGGTTGCGCCTCTCCTGCAGTATTGCCTAAACCGAAACCCCAAACCCCAACTAGGGGCTCTATCTGGAGGCTTTCCGGCACCCCTTCAATAAGCCTCAACCTTCCCTCTAGAAGCGAGCTTACCTGCATGATGCGCTGCTCTTGTAATATTGGATTTTACTACCTATAACCCAAAGTTCATGGGGTTTCTCAAAATGGCGGCCTCTGGCCAGAAAATGGAAACTACTAGAATGGGTTATATAGGGACTACTATTCCTAGCGAACCAAAGGCCAGGGTAAGCAGGATTCTCTGAAGTTCATGTTTATGCTCGACGCTTGAGACCTTCACAACCCCTACCTGCTTGCCTGGTAGTGTTCTTCCAAACTGAAGCTTGTGCAGGTAAGACCCAAACCTAACCTTGTGACACTGTTGTCAGTCCAGGCCACAACGAGCAATGCCTCTGACTCTGTGACCGCCCTCCGACCAGATGGCCGGCGCAGACCCTGGTTGCTTGCTCTCAAAATCCTAAACTCTGTTGATAACCTAAGCTAAGTTACAAGACGGAGGATGTATATATGCATGCACATATGCAAACATGAGACGCAGTGAGGTTTCAATGCTATAGTAACATAGTTGTTTGGTACCTTAAATTCACAGCACACCAAATGCTATGAGAAGGTGAGTTCATGTTTTCCATTTCCGACTGACAACATCATGCCCTAGTACAACTATGGAATGGTTCCCTGCAATGCGCCAGATTGGATTGCCAGTTCAGGGTTTGGGTCCGGGAATTAATTGCCAGAGCTCGCCGTAGGGGTCGGGGCCATGAATCCTGAAGATCAGATCCTTAATGTATAGTCGGCCTAGGCCTGTGCTACACCATATAGATACTTAGTATATTTCAGGTAGACCAAACCTGATACATCCATCAGATCCAAATCCAAGACTTGAAGCCCAAAACCCCGTAACCTGCTGAATCTCTATAGGCTGCATGGTTTGGGGTTGATAAGCTGCCAATGGCTCAGCTCCGAAGTCTTGAGCTTCTAAGCCCAAAGCTCCAGCCATGTCTAGGAACATAGGAAGAAGCTCGGCCAGAAAAACCTTTGGCCAGATGCATTTGAGCCTAATTGTAATCTCCCAAAGCATTTTGTGTAGTCCTTTCCATCTCAAAGGACCCAGGTTGCAACCCTACAGCCTGCTTCCCAAGCCCTGCCCTGAACCTTAACACTGAACCACCAAGCCCTAAACTCGAAGCCCAAAACCGGAACCCTAGACCATAAACCCTATATTGTTACTAGAACCATATCAAAGAAAAGGTCCCCGCAGAACCGCTCGCGGAAGACCACGTCCAATGCATCGACTTCGCTTGGCACTTAGCTCTAGGCCACACAGCTTCAGGCGTTTCTTGCCATGATCTAGGGCTTAAGGGCTTCAGTCAGTCAGCTCTGGAAGCGAAAAGAGCATAAATTAGTTTGGGCTTGCAGGCTCTAGGGCTTAAGGGATTCAGGGCCAATTCAGGGCCCAATGGCTTCAGGGATTATAGGTTTGAGGGCTTAAGTTGGCTTAATGGTCTCAATAGTTGGGTGGATTTCAGTTCAATGGTTTACGGCCAAACTCTTGCACGACCCCATACTACCATACTTATCAAGGAGTTTAGGTGCGCAGGGTCATGCCGAAAAAGACTTTCGAGTTTTCGGACTTCAAGTAACGGAGTGTACAGCTTAGTGTTTAGAGCTTGGGTTGGCAGGTCGATGGAGTTGGTATGGCATAGCCCATCCGCCGAATATCAAGCATCCCCTACCTGGTAAAGTTAGTTCGTGCTCTTGTGGCGAACCTTGGGAAGGCAGGTAGCCAATGCAAGACGGAAAGGGTTTCGGATTTTAGGGCTCAAGGTTTCGAGGCTTTAGATTGAGAGACGGGCCAGATTGAAGGTTTAGTGCTGGGTGGGCTTGCGGCTTATGATTTTGGGTTCACTTGGTTAAGGCTTAGATGAGGGCGGTTGTGATTTTTGGTTTGCTGGACTTTCCAGAATCTTACAAGCACATGCCTCAACCTTAAAAAGACCGTCAACAAGCAATGCCGTGTGGTATTGCGATCATCCATGTGATGGTTCAAGGTGCGGAGGTCAGGGGCTACGGGTTCCGGGTGGTGTTTGGGTTATCCGACAGGAGAGTAGGATGTTGTTCGCAAGATTGTAACTGCGCAGTCCAGGCGGGGGGGTTCTAGGTACGCTGCTTTCCAGGGGTTTGCAGCTCAGAAGCCTGGCGTTGAGCTAATCAGATTTCACGTTTGAGTGACTTATTCCCACTTACCAACACGCTTGAGTGACGTATTTCCACCTGCCAACCCAAAGTGTCAGTCCCAGATTGTACATATTGTTGGCCTGATGGGTTTCCATCCAGATGCTTTGGGCTTAAGCAATACATTCTGGGCACATGGACCTTTATCTCCTCAAACGTAAGCTGCAAACCCTGACTCGAGGTTTGGCTTAGTAGCCTCAAAGCCTTGACTTGGTGATCTCATTTGGCTTTTGCATGTGACCATATATTCAGGAGTTTCCTGAAAGGCTAGAGATTATGCCTGACTTGCCATTCCTTTAGAATCTTTTTATAGACTGGGGGTTAATAGGGAATAAGGGAATATGTAATATGGGGGTTGTATAGGGATTACTTTCTCTTGTTCCCCACTAACCACCAGTAAGCCTTAAGCCTTGAGCATCTCACAGGGTCCTAGATCTATACTCGCTACGGTGGGGGGTTGAGGCCGTTGGGGTCCATCATTGTGTAAAGCGAAGGAAGGTTTCTAAGTGCGTTATACGTAACCGTACTGATCCATACCATACTACTTACTAGGCTCATCTATAGATTCCTTTCCTTAGGCAGATATCCTTGGGTAACTGCCTAGCACCCTTCCCTGGAGTTTACCAACAGTCGTGCGGAGCTTTTTTCACTGGAGCCCGTTTTGAAAAGCTTCTGCATACATGAAGCCAAGGAGCATCCGCGGACCAAACAGGCTCCTTCTCGTGCGGCAGGGTTTCAAGCTTCTTCTTGTAAGGACGCCTCAGCCCTACACTAACCAGAACAAAAGGATGCTGCCGCGGAGTCTTGCCTCAAATACTGTTGCATAATCCTGCACCACCCTAGATTCCACATGTCTGCAGAAGTACCATAGTTCATGGCCCTGCTGCTCCATCACTAGCACTTCCACACAGGGGCATTGCAACTTTGAGGAACATCTTTACAAGCTTTTCAGGACCTTCATATGGGAGTTTGTGAAACCAACTTACACGATCCATCATGAGGACAGCTCCAATTCCGTTCTCATCCCCATATATGCCACAACCGAATCCCTTACCGCCTCACCGTCGATCCTACCCAATGGATTAGCTCACCCCCTAATCATCATGGTTAGTTAGCCAGCATCCAAAACTGTCGCATTGGCACTTTCCAAAGTCATGCGTACCAGCATGGAGCATGGGGCTCAAAAAAGGTCTTTGTCTTGGACTAGAACATGACGGTGCCTTCATCAAACCGTACACAACCTGAGCCGTAGACATTGGTTCTTTAGCCTTAGACATTTGTTTCTTTGCTACTATTTTCATAGAATACATGAACGCACTAGTGTAGTGAGTCATGTACATTTGGGACGAGCATACCCTTCATGTGGGAGTTGTTCGCAATGGTCCATACAATTTCCGTTCGTAGGGCTGCCGGAATCCACAGAAAACCGTATGACTATTTACCTTACACCTTACAGCACATTTGACAACGGTCCAATTGTTAATACGTTCTCGTTTTGGGGGATAAACCCTGGACACATGCTCCCAAACCGGAAGCCTAGTTTTTCGGCCTGGGGTTCATACGGAGCCGTGATGACCGAGCACGCGTGAGCTTCCTGCTTGAGCATCTTGTCATTGAGAAGCAGATGCAGGCTGTCCAAAGCATTATGGGACGTCTGGCACCACAGTCTGAAACACGCACGCCAACGTAGCATTAGCAGGGGGACGCAGCGAGATGTGCACGGATGTGCAGGGATGGCTGAGATGCGGGTCTTATGTTTCTTGGGCTTTAGACTGGCGCACGTATCCCCAACTTCCGAACGCCTCCATCACATCCGGGGCGAGAATGCGAGGGCTTAAATCAGAAGCTCCCACACCGCGAACCCCAAATCTCAAATCTTACCCAGACTGGTCCTGTACATACCGCTACGTCCGTTAAAGGATTTTACAGAAAACTGTGGAATCTTTCCTCACGTTACATAAATACTTGTATTCTGCGTAGACCCTCAAACAATCCAGACGTCTGCGTCCAAAGCATGCTTTCGCATTCGTCAGGGTCGGCGCGAAAGCAACAGCGACAGTGCCTTGTCGCGCATATTTGGTACATACTGCCTGCCTTACAGGCTTGGGATGATACACTGTCCAAACATTCTGCGCGAATTCAGAAGGTTGTGTGGAAATTGAGGGTGATTTCTTGAGTATCCAGATAGGGCTAGAAGCAGTGTCAGGCATGAGAGAGCTTTTCCAAATGGTCCCTAAGTGATCATCCCGGATCATCCCGCAAGTATCCCAAGGTCCATACCAGTACTCCCTTTGCAAAAGTCTTGTCTATCCGGACGTTCTATAGTCCACGGGCTCCCCTGAATCCGCCACCGGTAGTTTTTGTTGTTTTGTATATAGCCGCTATTGCAAGTTCTTGAAACTAAAAGCGGTTCTGGTATTTTCTGGACGCTCCGTTGCTGAAAGATCGTTGCGTTCTCTTGAGTGTCAATATTTTATTCTCTCCACTCTGAACCATGTTGTGTGAGACTTATCAGTCCCAAGTGGTCATTCATCACATCATACAAATGACCCTGAGCGAGCCTTTCTTTTTGTACGTTATGGGTCGACTCAACTTGCTTGTTGAAGAAAACCTAGGAGTTAGGGGGACTATAGGGTTCAGAAGGTTTAAAGCCACTGTTTTGACAGGACTCGCGCGTTAGGAAAGCCTTGAAACCATGTTGAGTCGTACCCCTACCTTGCAGGGCGGCATGCTGAGCGATTTTGAGCGACACCCCGGGCCCCATGATGAAATTCCAGGACAAAACTAGCACCCCTAAATCCCAAGGCAACCCAAACCCAGGCAACTCACTCCCAGAGTGGCATCAGCACGTATTCAAGCCCAGGTGGGTGTGGGAAACATGGTCTTTAGGAGCTGCATGGTCTGTAGTGTTTAGGGCTTCAGGTTTAGGGTTCAGGTCTCGGGTTCAGGGACAAGTTTCACATTTACATACATGATCCAAAGTCTGGGTTCTGGTTGGGGTTGGAAGCTCATAAATATTGGTTTCAGGTCAGCTTCTGGGTTCATGCTTAAGAGTCTAGGATTTGAGACTATAAGCGTTTGGTGTTTGGAACTTGGACTGTGCAGATGTCGTGCTTTTGCTTGGGAACACCTGGTGGTATCAGACGTTGAAGGCTTCGTGGCGCGTTTACGGGCTCAAGTATTTTGGTTTTATTTGCTGTGACCTCAGTGGTTCTGGTACCTGAAAGCATGACATTTCAGTACTTGGGCCCTTTGCATTTGGGTGTTCGTGGTGAGATGTACAATGACGTGCAGGGGACGGCCTAAGTTATGTTCATCCGTCCCTTACACCCTTATCATCCCTTGACCCTAAACGGTCTCTATCCCGGCTTTGCTCTTTTTTGCCTTTCAGCCCTGAAAATATGAGAACTTGCCACGGGTTATGAGCCGCTCCACTCGCGGATAAAACCAGAATGGATAGGGGGTTCTTGGAGAGCCAGACGGCTCTGATGCACTACAGAGGACCCTGAAACTTCCATGCTTTTCAGTACAACTGGAGCCTATGATGGTTGGATTTCCCGAACCTCACATTGTAGCATCCCCACAGGTTTGTCGGGTCTTAGGTCGATACCTTGACGTCGCTAGAAGGATCAAGGAAATGAAGTACGTCTTTCACACCCGTCTTCAAGTCAAGTCCACATGTGGGACTTCGGTCTGCATCACTCTTCTTAACTGTTTCAAGAAGCCCTAATCCCGCCAGCCAAGTCACTAATCACAATAGAACAATGAAAAACACGTCAGAGAAACACAGCAGTAGCCCGGCGTTCTTCCTGAAGTCTAAAAACCAAATCTCAGGCCCCAACCCTAAACCAAATGCTCGATACCTTGGGCCCTACTCCCTCAGCGAACCAGAAGGTACACACCACTGAAAACCCTTAAGTCAAAGCCCTTAAGCCACTTTTACACCCCTTACGGTTGAAGATTTAGGGTGCAGGGCTTAGGGCTTAGAAATGGAATTTGGGGTTTACGGCTTAGCGGCTTAGCCTAGGGTCCTAGAGCTCAGGGCTTAGGGTTTCAACTCTTACCGAACCCTTCAACAATTTGCTTAAGCCGTGCACTTGCCAGGTTAGGTGGCTCCCGGACAGAACACGCGTTCAGGGTCCAAGTGCCCAAATAGTATGTACTTAGACCTCTGAACCCTCAAACGTGTGGAAGGCAACTATATGACTATATGTCAACCCCTTTGGCCCCAAACCATATACTGCCTGGGTATCTGGACCTTTAGGGACTTGTGAGCCGACTGGTAGTTCGAGCTGCGTGCGCAGAGGGCACAGCGTTGGGGTCGTAGAACTTCAGGGTCTGGGACAGTGGCTGAAGATGTTGTGCATTTTGACCCTAAACCCCAAACTTCAACACTATGCTGCAAATCCTGGCCCCGACATCCAAATCGTGAGCTGCCTTTCTGGTCATTCTCCCCTCATTGTCTTGTTTTGGACCTTGTGAACGAAGTCAGGTCAAAGGTCTAGGGTGCGGGACGCGAGAAGCAGGACCGGTATGGAACATCTGCTCGGACTCTACCTTTGTTGCCCTATGGTGCCATATTTGTAAAGCATCCTTGACATCTGGATCACAGTGCTAATCTTGAATGTCCAAGTTCGACACCCGCAGAATAGTCCCCTAGGCCCGTAAGGGTCTACATATCCCATCTTAGTGCACATTGGAGGAAGTGTATGAATATTGGGTAGTCAGATTGGCAGGGTTGTCTTTCGGATCAATTAGCAGAGAATCAGATCGGCTGCATCTAACTTCTTCACGCACGTTGTTGTCCTAGCATTTGAAGGTCATTGTTTGCAAGACATCTGATTTCTGCATATCCTGCTAGGCTGATAGAAAGGAGAGGCACGCAGCGGGACTCATGCGTACATGGAAGGATCCCGATGCTCAAAGGCTTAGGGGTTCACCTGCATAGCCGAACATTTTATTATGTTGTGATCAGTCACTCCACACACTGATTCGGGAAGATCGATTCAGAAGGTTATGTTTCGGGCGCGGTGCGCCGGTTTCGTCGTGTGCTGTAGCTGCGTGAGGCGTGGCTCTGTAGGCAAATGTGTGAAGTTCCTGGCTGCCTGGCTTCAGAATGCCATGAACTTGAGATAAGAGTACTTAATTAGCTTTAATGGTGAGACCTAACCTTCAAGAGCCAATCCCATATTTGTCATCTTCCAGGATTAGCATAGTTGCGTTAGGACCCAAACCGGAAAGCCTGTGTTTTCGGAGAGCCATCCAGAAACTGAAGCCTTACGGGATTGCAGACAAGGGTTTGGGGACTATTGCTCGCGTCGCCCTACTGATACGCAGTTTCCTGGGTAAGCAGTGGAGGTTTATTTTTGATGCGGCGGGTGATTAAGATTTGAAGCGGAAAGTCTAGGGAGGCTTGACAACGCAAGGGCATAAGTTTTAAGTATCAGGGGAAAGGATCAGCAGTTTGGGTTCTTCTTGCAAAAGAACCTTGGCCCACATGATATGGCAGTTTCCCTGGATATGCGGACCCGATATATATACCCAGAATACGACAGAATCCTTGTTATAAAGATCTCCAGAAGGGTACCCCTAATTATGGGACCCCCCCCCCCTCAAGTTAGGGGCTTTTCTCCGAAATTTAGTTTGGTAAGCAGCAAGACATTGGAAGCTTTGGAGCCCACCACTGGAGACAACGATATAGGAATTAGGGTTTAGGTTTGGGATTGTTTGGTGTTTGGACTTTGGGTTTAGCAGGCTACAGGAGAGTGTGCAGATGTTTTGAACGTGATGTCCCTATTTGATGATTCGATCGCTTAATATTCTGTCCCAGGAAGTCCTTAAGTTTCCCAATAAAAACACTTCCCAGGAAGTCCTTAAGTTTCCCAATAAAAACACGCGCTCAGTTCTCCCAGGCTCTAAATGCAAAAGCTCCTCCTGGGGTCGCGCAAGATGAATTACTTTCCGTGGGCTTAGACTCCAACGCCAAGCACGGCGCCCACAAGCCGACAGAGCCCCAAACCCATGAACCGGTAATCCCCAAACCCAAAACCTTGTCTCCTGGGATTCACCCCCAAAACCTATATAGTCGCCCTTAAACAGATAGAATATGGAATTCACCTACATAATAATCAGATTCACATATACCCCATATTCCATATACTTAAAGAGGACTACAATCATAATCCATAAACTTTAAAGCGTTTGAGCTTCAGCATCCCTGGACTGTGGAGCCCTGTCAGTTCATCCAAGCAGCCAGACATCAGCATGCAGTCAATGAACGCAGCCGCTAGAGAGTTCGGGGGGACGAATGAACTTGGTAACGTAGAAGTGCGACATGGAAGGTTCTATTCGGGACCCCAACATGGACACCCCCCCAAACGCGATAATCCTGATTATTGAGACCCCCCAGAAGTATCCCTAATTTTGGGAGCCCTACTGGAAGACCACCCGACCTCAGCTCAACTTTTGAGTATCCATATCCGTATGAGCCGCCGCAGCGGCTAGACATCTACCATGTAGTGTTACTTGAGCCCTTTGACTCAGTTCATCAGAGCAGGTTGATTTGTATGACTACTGCATCAACTCGCAAATTAAGAGCTAAAGCAAAGGACTTGTGACATCGTCCCCTTGATACGCGCGTTTCAACTCGGCGGAAATGGGAAAATTGCGAAGCCAGTCCCGGAAGGATTCCGAAGGGTCCAGGTAGCCAGATGCTTATTAGGAATGGAAGGACAATGAAATGGAAGCTACCGTATTCTTGGGCATTCAGGGTTTACAAGGTGTGGGGACGGAATTCGGGTACCAAAAGCCTTTGAAGTCATGTTAGTTGGTCATAACAAAACCTGCAATTTGGGTTCTTAGACCTTGAGCAGTTTGCAACACTGTTTATCAGGTTTGATGTAGTAGGCAGATACCGCATACTTTGGCTGACGTGCTCTCTTATGTTGGGGAGTATTCGCTCATTGACCTTAAACCGTGGCACCCAAAATCCTCGTGCAAACCCTCGTTGGAACCCTGGTGGCAAGCTCATGGACGTGGCAGCTGTGAGTTTGATCGCAAGTTGCGGGGGACTTATTGGCATTCAAACGCCTAGGCCCAACCTATAGTCGGATGGTCAATGCAAATGAGAATCCTTAGCATGTTCGTGTGCGGGTATTATATATTATGAATTATGTATATATTTATCAGGGGGCTACCATGCTTGAACATCCCCCTGGCTGAAGTCCCACACTATTCGTGTTCAGCATTTTGTTTTCTCAAGACTATATCATGGCCCATTTTTTAAACCCCGGCTCTATTTAGGAAGAAAACACAGCTGCATCATGGGAACCCAAAACCCTACACTGTAACATAGGCCCTCGCACTGGGGAGCGCTCGCCGTTTTCCTGAAAGCCAGCTTTTGTTTTCACAAGATCACACCAAGGTGATTGTTGAACCGTGTCAGGCTTTTGGCTTTTGATGGGGTTCTACGGCCTGTCGTGTATCTGGAATGGCTTTTCTTCCTTGGGGACCCTAACCCGCAAACTGAGTTAGGAATGTTGACTACAACAATGTGTAACAAAGTATCGGAGTATTGTCTACTATGTTTGGCTGGATAGCAACAATTACAAGATGTGACGAACCCACGTGAAGCTTCGCCGTCAGAAGAATTTAGTTGCAAGATCAGGTCCTGACACATGCCCCCCCCCCCCGATCCATGTGTGCATTCCTAAAATGGAGCGCATCCTAAGATGTAGCCCAGATGTTCTAGAAGCTGAATGAATACTGCTTGGTCTTGGCTCGAACAAGCTTTGTCTCACTGCCACATATACGTAGGAAAGTCGCACTGAAGCCCATGACTATGGCTTTCTGATTCAGAACTGATGAGGGCTGAATGCCAAGTTTAGAGGACTGTCAAGACCTGTCTATCTGCGGGCAAGACCCGAAGCCCTAAATAGTGTGAAAAGTTGAAGAAGTATGTGTCTCACTCACGCCTTGCATGCAACCTCAAAATTCTCGGCTACCCCGACAACTAGCCCCAAAGCCCACTTCACGGATCTCCCTCGTTTCCCCAGACGACCTTGGCCTGTCGCCGCTGATGTCCCTGTTCGCTTCGGATGATGAGGGCAGGCAAAGCGTAGGGTTGAGGGTTTACGGGTTTTACTGCTGGGTGGCTCGTTTTGTACTGTTGGCACTACTATATTAATGCTGAGCTGAGTTAGCTGCTTCCGTTAACATCTTTGGGCCTTTGGGGATCAAGGGCTAGGGATTTTCAGGTTTGACAGAAGGCCCTACGCAGCTCCTATGTAGTACATCAGGAACCTCCAACAAGAACCGGCAAACAACATAGCAAACTAGCTAGCAGCCATAGGTTTGGGTTTACCTGTGGCGCCATTCACCTGGCAGCTCATTAGCATGTACCCCTGAATTATTGCGTTTTCCGTCCAACCCTACAGGTGCATGGAGCCGCAGGTAGGTCTCAGGATTCTGAGGGATCGAGCTACTTAGGGGTTGAACTTTGTGCTCAGGCGCAGTTCCCGCAAGGTCCAGGTACCTATTGAGGTCGAAACTACCCCTCACAGGAAAGCACTAAACCCTGCGCGAGGGTTCCCATAAATTTGGGGTCCCGTTTGGGACCTATACAATGCGAATTAAAATATTCAGGGGTTTACTGGGGTCCCCCTAGTATTGGAAATGTATTGGCAACTATCACATGGGTACCTGGACCCTTTTGGATTGTCATGTTGATCCGCTGCGATTAGGGTTGACATGGGCGGTCACGGTAGTGAGGAGACGAGGGTGACACTGGCTCTACAGGGAACATGGGGTTAACGGATTTGGAGTTCGGGCGCCGTCCATTCGTACGTCCACGTTTTTTTGGGGCTACCCCAAAGAGCATATGTTTCCTTAACTGTGTTTCACCCCATGATGTCAAAGGAGTCACGCTTCGTTGTTCATCTCAATGTCACCCTCACATGCTTCCCATGTCTTCTTGCTGTTAAAATCCCTCCAAGCCCAGCGTTATCCTAACCCCGAAGGTCTCCCTCAACACCTTCCCAAAGCCCAGCTTTGCCGAACAAATACTGTAGACACTCAGATATGCTGAAGCACCAGCTTGTCTTCATATATA